GAAAAATCCACTAGCCCTGGGCTACCGGACATTACTTTCTTTGCACGCTGCATGAGCAATGCTTTGGTGGTCAATTAATCAGTTTTCTAGTAGCATTAGTTACAATGATAAATATTGGGACCATGGAGGAAAAAGCAGGGCAAACAGGAAGGGTAGCCAGTGAGCAAGTTCTCATTGTTATCTTCAGGCTCAACACAGGAGCTAAAAAGAAACAAGAGTCCAGAAGGACTTTGCTATGGTGACAGTTTGTCATTACAATAACCGCCCGCAAAACTGCGCTCAGCCACCTTAAAGTGTTGCATGGATGATGTGTGATGTAATACCAAAGTCTATATTTGTTTCACAAGCATGGACAAGGCAAATTGGAGATACACTGACAGCACAATCAAGCAGTTTATCAGAAATCACTTGACACTTTATTCTAGACACTCCTCCGCTATTGAGTAATATTAGATTATTCATTGGTATTTTTTGGTGCTGCAGAATGTTTATTGGATGTTGTTTATTGACAATTAAACTTGGGTTGACATTATGTATAGTAAGTTTACTCTTATTGTATTAACAGTATCTGAAATCCTTGTCTTACAGACTTTCACGTATTAGTTGGAGGAAACCCAAATGTAGTCATACCCCGTCAGAAATATTTAGATGCTGTCACTAAGTCAAGCCAACCAACACACTTTGCTGTGCGTCTGGCAGAGTTGGTTTTTGGAGATGATGTGCTGGAGGCATCAACAGTGACTGGAGGAAAACGTGGCACGATGCAGCTGGATCCAATAATGATCAAAGCAATACAAAGTATGTTAAAAGAGCATACTAAAATAGTATTTAGGCAGACTCGCTTGATTTCATATATAGTTGTTGTCTGAGAAAGAGTATATACGCGTTTTAGAGGGTTAAGCCTGGTTTCTGTCAGATAAGGGACCTTAATGAGATGCAAGGATGATGACAGCAGGTAAAATGTCACTTAAAAAGTGAAATCGCAGTTTTTCATTTTCAATCTTCATCGCGATTATTCCATCTTTCTTACTTTGTTGAATGTACGCAAACTCTCCTGGAGTTGAATTCCTAAGAACCTTATCCAAGTTAAAAAAGAGAAAGAAAATTTTGTTGTTGCTTGTTTACGTCCTCTATAAAACGTGGAATTGGGTTTTTTCATGTCGTAGTCATGTAAAATTGGCAAGAAATGGACAAAAAACTGTGATGCACGTGCAAAGTTGTTGTTTTGCTAGTTAAAACTATTGTTTTTATGACATTCTTGTTGCTGTCACCGTCATCTGATGTTAAGGTCCCTATTATGATTTCTATCACTGGAAAAAAAGTTCAGATTACAGCAATTAAATAGAAAGAACTGTTTGACAATCTGTTAGTTTGTTTATTTTGGTCAAATAATTTGTAAACTGTCTATTGTCAATGATCCTTCAGTGGTTGTTAAATTTCATCGAAACACTAGACGAAAACTGAGGATTTTCATAAAACATCTTCTCAACCAACTTACTACCTCCCCGCGCACCACCCTTAATCGCTCGGAGTCTTAATCGACGGTCATTGGAATTATTATCTTATAATTATAGCACTCACATTACATACTAGATTTCACTTTTTTTTCTACATGACAACTTTTTTATGTTTAAGATTATAACG